AAGCTATCTTTGAGCAAAGAGTAAACAGTTATATAAAACTGTTCACGAAATTAGTAGCTGTGATAATGTGCTCTTGATTTTGCCGAACGAGTAGCGATGACAGATAAAGTCGTGCGTTATACGTACCTGCATCGCAGCTGCATGTCAATAGTGCAAGCCAAAGTGAAAATCAGTGCCACAACACTTGAAACCCAAAAGGTAACTGCATGCAGTGAAGAAAAAAAGGACTTGCCGAAGTTGAAAAACAGATCTGTGTATGACAGAGTCTTTGAATCGAGATTTCTGCTCAAATGAAAATTTTAAAAGGTCTTCGTTATCTGTCTCTTTTAAAAAGTTATAGAAGAATGATGCTGAGGTAAATCCCCTTGGTCATAAGGTTTTCGTGATACAACCCTCAGAGGGTATACAGTTATGAAGAATAAACTAAAAGTATGCATTCAGCGCTTACTTGTAATCTTTTGCACGGTCATTTGGGCTAATGTCGGCAGTTTTAAAGTTGAGTAAATGTCTAACACTCTTCCATTGACACCTAACCACAATAGAACAGCCTGTAAAAACGAAAGTGGTTATCTCTTACATAATAAAACAAACGCTTCTTTTTAATGACATCGTCATTAATCTCATTCGTGCTTCTTTTTTCCCCGTGTAATAGAAATGGTGGAGATCTGTCCTGCCTTTTTACGCAGAGCATTTTGGTTGACAGGATCAGGATGTTCGACTATTCATTGACTAATACGGCCGTTTTACAATAGTGCACCACCAAGAGTTTGCAACGCGTTGGCCAATCACAATGCGCAAACGTTGTCGACCCAATGCGCGTTTAGAAAGGGTCGACAAATTTCGAGCGTTGTGATTGGCCAACGTTGTGCAAAATCTTGGAGGCGCCCTATTGTGAAATGGCCGTATTTACTTTTTTATTTTGCGGTCGATGAAAGTCAAAAATGTTCTGCACTCGCACTCTGCTCCGAATACAGTTCACCCATGATGAGAACATTGGCGTTAAAACCCAGCAGATTATTACATCGCATTGCATTGTAACGACACTGTTGTGGTGGTATTGCCCAGAAGACTGGTGAAAGCTAACAGTAAAAAGCTAAAAACAACCATGATGACTCCGGTTATTGTGAAACTGCTACTTTTGATTTGATGGGGGGGGGGGGGGGGGTAAAAATTGACGAAATTGTCAGGGCCTTTGGGATGTTTTTTCATACACGTACATGTATTTATCATATAGTCATCTCCAGAACATAACCAAGCACATGTTCCAATACATAGATTTACTTTAAGGAAATTTAAGGCGCCAATTACTACAAATTATTACTCGGATAAAACCTGGCCCACACCTCATTTAATCTAAAATCTAAATGCACCCGATTACACATTGCCACATACACTCACCTGAACTGTTACTACCACAGTCAATATAAATGTGCAAATATTGTGACGTGAAAATCTGAACCCTAAAGAAAAACAGAAAGCACGCAACATCACATTAGCAAGTACGAATCAGAGACAATATATTCTTGGAACACCTGTGGCTGATTTTAAAATTAGTCAACTTCAAAACGAACGGATTTGCTACGATGTTAATTGTGTTAAATCGAGGAAATCAGACCTGGTTGGCGCAGTTACTCAAGATTCTCAATACGAAGGCATCTTACCTGGCACAGTGCCAATATATTTCTGGAACAAGTACAAAACGATGTTTTCACTCATTCTATACATTTTCAAAAGAAAAAGGAGGAAATCAATTACAAAGGCAAAAAGAACAAAAAATGGGTGACCACATGATCCAATGAAATTATATTATAATCAATTATATTCTGAATATCTAACCATCAAGCGGTTTTCATCTTCGCCTCAAAATTTT